ACCACCTATTTTACCTCAGTATTGTCGTGATAGTCATGCTCGAATGAAAGATTCGCTAAATAAGTATGAATTGCGTTATGTAAATAGATTTTTGTTGTTGAAGGAATAATGACTAAAACCAATCTTTAGAAGATAAATTCATGGTAAATGCATTGATGTAAAATATGCTTGAATATTGGAGAAAATAATTTTGCACACATTTCTCCAAAGAGGCCGGTCGTGCGCGTCCTTTAATTGCAATAGAGATAGTAAAGAAATTACGAAGTGTTGCTTGCGGAAAGGCGTAGAACTGCAAGAAAATTATAGGGAACGTTTCTGAGCATCGGTGTATAAAACTTGAGACAACAAGACCAACCGATGAACGAGGGGGGGGGGGAGATGACCGAACCCGTGGCAGGTTCAAATAAGTCTTCGACTTTAACCTTGTGTTAGACGATGTTTTTGTTAGTGTAATGGATGTCAAACATTGAGCTCCGTGCCTAAATTTTAAGAAAATGTTTTAGTATGCATATGCGAAATTTGTTAAAAGAGGTAAATAGACAACGAATAGTTAAATCCAAATAGAATCGTATCACATTAACTTATCACTGGTACCAAACACTGATGTGTTTTTCACAACTTCTGTTAAAATATACTGCTGTTATTGGTCGTTTGTATTACAAAACCATAGTTGTTTTCTAATATTAACATTGAATTGCTTTAATAAATATATTTCATAAATTGGTATCGTGGGAACGACTTAAAAAGTTGCAATGTTTATGCGTCTATTATTTTACACTGCACCCTGCTGATTAACATGAATGAAATTTTATTTTACAACAAATTTTGTGGTGACACTATTGATTATAAAATACATGTAAGCGTCTGTAGCATATGATATGCTAGCTATTTTTGCAGGAGTTTTTAAGGTCTTTACTACACCAAGTATTTTATAAACTTGTAAATCGAAATAAATTAATATTTTACTTATATTACAACGGATAGGAACAAGATCTAGTAGCCAAACTGGACAATATACAAGTCGTGTCTCATCCAGTCAATAGTACTTGTAATTAACCTTGTAACATGTGTCGACAGCTTGCTTAGTGACAAAGCACCCTGTAGCATGACTACAGGCCTTTAGTAACAAAGGACTAAGCCTCTGAGATTGCTGTTAACTCAACTGAAATAATACTAGGAAATCTGAATCAAATCATTATTAACGGACTCGATTGTCAATCTGTCATTATCATAACACCAGAACTTTGTTTAGCTTTTATTTCCACCCTGTGTCCTACAAAGTGTATACATCTCGTGGTTTCTAACACTGAAATGTTATTCGATCTGCAAAAGCATTCTGTATAACGTACTTGCACCAGTTTGTATTAAAATATAATCTAAAATAAACAAATTTAAAACTTCCCTTTAAAATCCAGGGCCTCAGCCATTGTAATCGAACTTACTTCATACTTTGAAAACTGCTCAATCCACCAGGGAGAGCCATAAAAGTACAAGCATTGACTGCTGGATTCATGATCAGAACTTTAGTGCCACAGCTACATTATACAGTTAGTGTAGTTCTTCATGTCATATTTACCCACCTAGTGTTCCATATTAATTTTTAAGGTTACAATTTCACCAGATCCCTTATGGTTTTCAATATCCGATGAATACGCTTTTTTATTTTATTATAAATCTCAAAAACTACTTAAAAAAGGCCACATTTTTTATATTAAGAAACAAGCTCAAATGTATTTTATAGGATACGTCAATAACACAACATTTCCTTATGTGATGTGATACGATTTTTTAAAAGAGAAATATACGACAACTTATTGATCGTTTGTAAAGTGTATTGTTTTACATGTTATAGTATAAGCTACTTCACTTAATTTTTGGGATTGCCGTAAGATTTATCGTGTTATCTTGAGTAAAACCAATCATTTCTCACTCTTATCCGTTCGTACAGCAGTTATAGTAGTTTACGCAACGATTGCCTAAAGACGGTGTTAACGACACGAGCCTTGGCGAGTGCCTTAAAAACTTCTACGAGGGTCATTAACACTATTTACGAGAATTGCATACACTTCTTTACCTACGACAGTGTTTTATTACTATTAATCACTGCTCATAACTTCTAGGAGAAGTTATGTTTTCGTTTATAACCTCTCATTGTCACTGATGCAGTGATGCAACGAAACATTGTACCAAACACTAATTGCACAACTCAAGAATTAAATTAGCCTGAACTGATTAGTTGAAGTTGTTCAAAGGTTTATTGCAGATATTTTCCATCACGATTGTAAAAAAATACACAACGTTTTGGGGATCTAGAATCTGATCCCGACCTCAGGTGAAAAAAAACTTAACTAACACATTACAACTAACAATACACAAACGCCCAACCTAAGTATACACACAGAAAACATACTACTATAACCCAGAATGCCAACCGCATAGTAAAAAGCATTAAGTGTTTTGAGAGAGCTTTCCCCGTCAATCCGTAGGCAGCGCCACCAGCGTTGCCCTAATGGTTTTTACCATGCGGTTGGCATTCTGGGTTATAGTAGTATGTTTTCTGTGGTATACACTACAATTCCATCATTGGTCCGTTACCCGTGTTGTTATTATTAAAACTATGCTGTTAAGAAAGTAAACAATGCTGTTATGGGAAACTTTTCAATTCTAAGAACTGAACTAAAACGGCTACTTTAAAAAACGGCCGTAGGTAAAAATATTATTAAACTATTTCTATAAATAGCAATACTGTTAGCATTAACTGATATAAAAGAAAAGGGTATATTTAATTCGTTTTTGAAATAACTGTACCACTGACTATGTATATTACGATTAAACACTTTTCCTTTATGACTAAAGAGCTACACTAAAGCATTTTAGGTCTTTAAAAATTTAAAAACCACGTAAACAAATTTTCGTGTATAACATTCTAAGAGGCGATTCTCTCTCCGCAATTCAGTTCGGTCTGGTGAACAGCTTTATTCAACACCTGTCACTCAACACAGACTTGATGAAAAATCTGGAACCACCCTTCCTGGGTTTATGTTGTAGCCTTAGGTGACATAAAGTAAAAGAAACTCAGATTATACTTTTTAAAGTTCTTTGTTAGTAATTAAATCAAAATCTAAGAGCAAATTATAATTAAATGCATCTGATGTGTAATGCTAATCCGTGTTTATTTCTAGTATAATAATGAGAAATAATTTGCTGTACGTTGGTTAAAAGTGTTTACTGTGCTTAAGTTTATTTTGTTCTTAGAAAAGTTTCCAAATGGGAAGTTATTACCCTAGGTCTAATGGTGATCTGGACCCGGGGCCTAATTATTTTTTTTTCTGTTTTGAGGTCATCAGAGACCAAAAACACCTTCCGTTCAAATTAATATAGAAAAATATTACTTTTAAGGAGATGTTTTAATGGAAATTCAATCAGGCAAATGGAAATTCGCATAGACTGAGGGTTTTTCCGTTATTAAAATGTTACTGCTTGGATTAAATGTAATTTTTATCTCCTAAGTAGTTTTGAGGAATTTTAAATTTAATGCCCAGTTTATTAATATGAAGCTGTGATTCGTGTATAAATCTTATTTAAGAGTAAGAATGTTCATAAACTAATTTATATTTTACTTATTATATGTCATTTGAATAATACAACATGTGTCACTAAATGATTTTAGTGTTTATTTTTAATAGAAGGACATTTGAAGGGTAACAAAAACAGCGTTTCTCCTTTAATATTTCTCGCTTAACGGCTGTTTTCTCAAATATTAATTCATATGGAATAACGAATCACTGAAGGAAAAAAATATAAAGAAGGATATTATTGAATAAGACTCGGCTGTATTCTGTTTGAATCCATATGCACAACCCTTGTAAACAAACATTCTAAACATTATCCACACGACTTTTTCTATACATTTATTAGTACGACTGTATTTTATTTAGTGTATAATGTTGGCTGTTATACATCTCTTGTGGCAACGTTCGTGAACCGATACATTAAAACATTTACTTGATACTTTGCATCTAAGCTTCCATGCCATGAATATTGAAGTCAGGTTCGTCAGGTTTTTATTGCCTGAAAAACATAAAGTGTCCTGACGTCAGGTGACAAGATTACATTTTAAATTCATATTAGTTCATATTAAATCCTCAGAGTTTAAGGTGAACAAAATTATAATGAGGTCCTATGTCTTCAAATTATCTCTAAAAGCGTTCTAATTCACTGTGAAGTATTGCTCTTTGTTGCTGAAGACGTAAAAACATCACTCCCGAAAGCACATTTTTTTATTTAAGCTGCTGTTTTTCGATATGGACGAAATGAGAGCATACTATTGGCTACCATGGCGTGACGTAACTCTCTTCTCTTGAGGATTAGGACGTCACTCTGTTGTTTGTTGACTCAGTTGGATTTAAAAAATCGATATTTTAACTATATCAATAATGCAAATAAACTGTCATAACCTAACCTAACTAACCAAACTTGCGGATAATGAAAAGATCTAATGTAGATTTAAATCGAAACAATTGTTCTGTTCATAAAATTAAATTATAAATGCCTTAAATTCGAAAAAATATGTACAGTTAAGAAGTAATCACTTTCTAAGCAAAATCTTTGATAACAATTTACAGTCACTGGTGGGATTTGATCTGGTTACCTCTTGTACATCAGCTGAATACTCTATCCACTACACCACAAACACCGATGGCTGCATGTAGTATCGTTGCGCTATTGATGTTCCCTCAAGAGAAGAGAGTGACGTCACGCCATGGCAGCCAGTAGAATGCTCTCATTTCGTCCGTATCGAAAAACCACAGCAGAAATAAAAATTATGCCTCCCAAAGATTGCCATCGATTATTTTTTTTATAGTTAACCAACCCATAGAGCATATGTTAATAATAAAATATTATGTAGCCACATAAAACTCCTAGGAACGGACAACAATAACAAACTTCCCAAACTGTAATTTCATTTCAAATCTTCTGACTACGTAGTTTTTTTACAGATGAGTTTTGCGAGGAGTTCCCTCACAACCTGATCCCCACGCCCGGCTACTGGATAGAATGTTCCCGGCAGAAGATCGCCTCCGACACCATCTGGGACGAGAGCGAGAGCGACAGGGACGACGACAGGGTAGACGACGACGACACCGAGGATGCAAGGCCTTCCAGAGACATGCTGCTGGAGGATGACGAGGATGATGAGGAAGAGGAACCACCGAGGTGAGTGACCAGATAGGATGTGTTTATACTACGTTTAGAGTAAAAAGTTTCACATCATTGTGAACATAGAGGAAACATAGCTCCTATAGATGTACAGGAACGAGCAAGATCAGTGTTCCTGATAGAATGTGATTCATAGGCCTACTTGTAGAATAAAACTTCATATTACTGTGAACATAGAGTAAACAGACATCCCAAGGACAAAACAACCTGCGCGGGAACGAAAAGATCACGTGGTTTGCGCCGGTAGGTGTGGCGTACCATTCAAACCTGCGCGGCTCGAAATGGCCCAGGGTTCTTGTGTTTCTAGGATGTCTATAGCTGCTATAGAGGAACGACCGAGGTCTTTATATCCTAAAAGGATATGGTTCATTAACCTTTGACAGGCAAAATTCGTAAAAATCGTATAATTTAAACTCTCACCTTTTATCACACTAATAGACTTTCACCTCTACAACCTACTAATATAAAGCGGAGTTTTACTTTTACACAAAATATTATCGGTATTGTAATTTAAATTGTTCATAAATCCAAACGAGAGCTAATTCTATTATTTAAAAAGCTATTATGGTGGTAAATTATTGTTTTAAGAGCACAGACAGCTTGGTAGTAGTGCCTGCAGTTGATATACGATGCTATTACATGGACCCCCGCCAGCCTCCAGCCTTACCTTGGGTTATTTTGTTTTAATTATTATTTGTTGGCTTTCTAAATGGTCTTTATCATTAAAACGAAAATAAGAGGGATTGAAACGTAGGAATATGATTGAAAATAAACTTTGCCAGGACGTTAGCATAAAATAATACAGTGTATTTTAGTTTAAGTTTAAAACTATTGATAGTTCTCATATTATTCTCTTTTATTTACTGCGTTATAATTGACAATTATCAAAACAGGTTTAATCGCGAAAAACCTTAGTAATTTCATAGGACATTCAAACAAGTCTCTTTTTTAACCTCAAGAGAAAACGTTTATTTAAAGTTTCAATTTACAAACTGTTATTACAACATATTTTAGTAAAAATCAAAAACATGAGTTTCCATTACGTTGTTACAATTTAAAACTACTTTTACTACACGTAATAAATAATTTAATCTCTGATTGGTTATTTTCTTTATAATTTTTTAACTCTTAGGGGCATGTAGTAGGGGTCTAATAATTTGCAAAATAAATGTCACAGAATATACCAGTCATATGTTTATGTCTTAGGCACGTTTTTTCCATGTCCCAAAACGGTAGAATTCAATTGCCTTTGATAACAATGACAATTGTATTGTGTTCTAATAATCCCATGACTAATAAAACAACTATTTTAGTTTACGATACTTTGAACTGGTTGAAACGGATGTGCTGTTAACATATAATATTTCATCTAGGGGATTGATCCTATGAATTAACCTAACCTAACCTAACCCGGCTTCTGAAGATACAGTTAAAATGTGCATATGCCTGAATTTAAAGTTGTTATAACCTACTTCGTTGTTTATACGTTGTGAATTTGTCCACTTCCAGCTTTGTATGCTTAAGTAGTAGATTTTTAGGTAAGAGAGTTTAGTTTTGAAATACAGCCATAAAATTATAAATAAATTAGGTAAAATCCAGGCTCGAGTTTGGAAACATTCCCTGGAGATTTTCAGATCTCTTAAACACCTGGCTGCAAAGTTGTGATTTGTTGCTTGTATTAATCCTCTTATTACATTACAAAAATGAGTCGAGTGTTTCTAGCTTAACCTCATTTAAAACGCTGGAGTTTAGATGTCCGGCTTAAGTTTTTATTAAAGTAGTTATTCATTAAAACCGATGAAAGAAAATGAAATGTGTGTGACCTTAAAATAATCAACCTAAGTTGAGATCAAATATCCTGAAGGAATTTATAATAGATAATCAAGATTGACTATAGCTGAATAACCTATAAATACTATCTTGTTGTTTTATCTAAATCATCCACTTTATTAAAAGCTCAACAACAACGAATATACACAAAACGCTACAATAAACTTTAAACTATTCCGTTGCTAAAAAAGAAAACAATCTCTTGAATACCACTAACTAGTTGAGAGCAGATGCTTCAAGCGATGCTGCGGTAAAACAAACAACCGTTTCAAAAACACTCTTGGTTACTTTGCTGAAGAGATATGGGACTGTTACCCCACCCCTCTGTCTGCGCCACCTTCATTTAATTGGTTTTGTTTTAATTTTATATTTAATAACTTTACCAGCCCCTGCTACATGCAAATGGAAAGCTCTTTATGTCCTCAATATGCTTAAAGAGGAAAGGGTTCTAAATTATGTTATTGTGTTAGGTGGATTACCTAAATATAGCTAAATTTGATGATATCTTATAATATGAATAAAAAACTAATTAATAAACACTCCATTTATTCATGATTCTATCCTTTGTAAATATTTATTTTGGAAACATACTGAGCTAAATGGGGTATTGCTGTTATACTAGTTGAAACACTACCAACCACCAATATATGTTAGATATGTGAAATAGATAGACATAGACTCCTCCAATAAAAGGCCGTGGAGTTGGTTAGTGGCAACGTAGCAATGGCCGGTATATTGTCATTTTTCTTCAAGGTTCTAGCCCGGAATCATTTCCCATATTACTTCAGGCTAGGACTACGGCGTGTTGCGGCATTATCACTTAGACAAAATCCGTTGGGGGTAAGTGGGATTTGAACCCTGAACTACGTGGACCGAAATCTTACGCTCTACCACTAGACCAGCTCACTGCCCTCAGTCCATTGTTATGGTGATCAAAGCAACAACGTAATAAAGAAGGTCATGGTAATAGTCGCCTACTCAGTTGATGGGACTCAAGTTTCATCTAGCAAGAAAAGTTTAAGATTTTTTTCAGTTAAAAGTGACCCGTATTTGAGATCTCCACAAACCGCACATAGGAGGTAACAAGGTTATAACAGATATACTAAAAACCAATCCAACGTTATTAAAATTAAAGCTTAGATTTTTTTTATTTTTCAAAATTATTCAAGTTTATATCCTCATTGTGAAAGCGCTATTAGAAGTGTTTAATGAAAATATCAGTTTAAAGAATAAAAACCGAAAACAACTAAAGAACATAAATACATTTTTCCTACAGTCCCCCGTCAAAGTTGGCTTCCTTGTACTGTTTATAGTACAGACAGCTGCTAATTGCTGCATATTTATACTTTGTCGTACGGTTTATACTTTGGCACACATCAGGATTCCAACGAAACAACACAAAACAGCGTGATTCTATTATGCACGTAATCCGTGTACGCTTGGAAAAAGGTTGGCAACACTTAAAGATAATAATACTATGAGCAGCTGATTGACTATTATAACTACGATTAAACCTGACATTTCGTGTTTATAGTTTATGTTCTCTTTTCGGGGTTTCTGAACTTTCTGGACTTTTCTTTTAAACGTTTTTAAAACATTCCTACGATCTTAATGAACAAGAAAATACCTTTAAAGCATTTGTTTAGGCGCGGAAACCTCTGTAAATTACAAAAATATACGGAACTATTTTTTGAAGTCGCGGAGCACATTACTTGCCGAGGAATAAATAGCGGAGTGATACGGACCGGGGACTACTTTCTCTAGGGCACCTATTTGTGTTGCCAGCTGAACCTAAAAACGTGTTGTGTTTAAAAGACTAATTATTTATATGCGTTATAGTGACTGTAGGAAAAATATAATGTATAAAATCACGAGTGCAAAAGGCCTTTGCTGCACTCGAGATCATTCCGTAAACGTTGCTCTCGTGTGCAGCAAAGTGCCACTTTGCTCACTAGTTACACAAATAACTATTTCAATGATTGATTTTTTTACATTTTAAGCTAAGACCCTCGATCCGTACATGGTAGCTCAGTGGTAGCGGTAGCGTCTTGGGCTGATAAGCTTGACTTTGTTAGTTCGAGAATGAGAGTCTACGTCTACATTATATTATCGCTGAGGGACCACTGGCCTGCTCCCGTGACTTTTACCTAGCGGTACTTCGCTGTACCTTACCGTATAGATCAGTACTTGTCTTTTGTGACAGAGAGTTGAAGAATAAAAATACATTTGTAAATATATTTACACAAAGTTTCATCAAGAACTTATTAAATCTAATCCACGTTTTTCTAAAACTTTTCTGGTAAAACTTTCAATGTCTAGAACCGTCTTAGAGATTTTTATTGGTATGATATATCGACGTAATTTCAGGAAAAAGACGACAATCGAGGAACAGTGGGAGAAGAACGGAGGTTTTGAGCTGACGTCGGTGGAGCAGGAGACTTATGAAAAGTACTTCTATGGGACCGAACATTGGAACTACTTCACCAACGATGAGGATTTGGGGCCGGTCATCCTCAGCATCAAACAGGAAATGCTCAACGGCAGGGATCAGTTCAGGTAGGTACACTACTTTTGTTGTTGGCAAAACTTGAATGGATATTATTATTCAGAACGAAGTATGAAATACACAACCACCAAACACAATATTATGATGTTAAATTTATTGATAAGTTATTGATTGATATATCTGTGAGGTCTACAAAATGACTTAAACGTGGACAAAATGTCATAAAAGAATAATTAGCAAACAGAACAAGAAGGAGGCCACTAAGTTTCCACCCGAGTTATTGTATAGCTTAAAATTAAAAATATTGTCACTATAGTATCACTCTGTAAACGGAAATAATTAGTTAAACTAATTAAATAATAAGTTAAATAACCAATTAAACTAGTTAAATAATCAGTCTATAATTTAATGTACGTGTGATTGTGCCTGTCCTAAACAGAATTTTAAAGATGTAAGAATTTATAATAAAACATCTTCGGCAAAACAACGAACTTTGGTTGTACTGTATTATTAACTTCTAAGTATCAGCAAGTTATAGAATCATTTACAATGATCGTGTAATGTTTAAATAATAAAAAAAAACCTAATAAATATGATATTACCTAAACATATCGTTCCCAAACAGAATATGATAAAAGTATAATATTCAATACACAAAAAGCTCAAAGAACTCGTCTCATAATTCTAAAAGGTTACCAAGGCTCGACGTGCCGATATCGGTTTTAGTTTAAGATGTATAGAAAAACACATCAGGCTACAGCTGGGCGCACACTTACTTCTTATACTCTGCTAACTTTATTCCTGGAATATTGCTTTTTTTCTCCCACAACTTCTTATAAGTTGTGTTCCTTAGAGGCCAACTGTTCTCGTTTCGTTGAATAACTTGATACATCGACCTGTCAATTTGTATCAAGTATTTGCAGTTGAAACCGTAACTTTTTATTAAAGTTGAGTTGCATTTTAAAGTGCTTTGTTTTTTGTTGTTTATACCTACAGAATGTATGGATGTAGACTTTATATTCCTCTCACGAAGAATAGTCAGTTTTTGTAGGTATATTTTTAGTATAATTTGACAAAATATCAAACACTCTGTTGTAGTTTAACTGGTCTTCTCTGTTTGTGTAGCGCATTTGTAGGTCATTTGGCAAGCTTATACTCTATGGTAAAGTTCAACTATATTAGATACTTTTATGAACGTTAGGTGGAAATGGTCATTTAGAAAAGCGTGCATTTATTCCACGAGCCCAGTAAAATCTATCGTACCCACGGTAATTCACAAGAAGAACTCCACGTATGATTTTTTCGTGACACATAAATCCTGTTATACTTAGTTAATGGACATTGGATATTTTTCAATCTAAATGCGTATAATTTCTGATAAAAAGCCAGACTCAACACAAAAACATAAAATCATTGTTTGATCGTTATTTGAATTAGTGTATTTAATTATTAACGAGTAAACACAGCTACCTATAAACCATATTTTGTGTTACCTAGAAAATTATTTGTTTTTAAACTAAAGTAATACCCCCGCCGCAGCAAACCTGCCGTCTAAGCGAATTTCCATTTGGCTGAATTGATTTTCAATTGATCTATTTAAATAACATTAGGTTTAACGAGTACCTAGGTTTGCTGCTACAAGGAAACTAATAAAGTGTGTGTTTTAAGTAAAATAATTATATTACTTAGTATAAAATGAATATATTTGCCAAGTTTGATCAAAATATATCCATAAACAAGCAAACTACAACATTTTACAATATTCTCCATAAGAATAACATGGGAATTTTAAATTTACCTTTTTTTTTGTTTTCTCCGTAACCAATAACCGTACAAAATCACTTTGATATACTGAATTGTTTGTTTTTTTTAAGCTCTTTAAGAAGGTTTAGAGAAAAATTGGGAAATTTTGTGTTTTGAGGGTCAAAAAACCCAATTTTACCCCATAAAACCCTGTTCCCATGGTCCGATCATGCTGGATCGCGAACTCATTCAAGTTTATCCCGCTTTACACCTTCAAACCAAATTTCATCAAAATCGGATAAAAATTACTCAAGTTATCGTGTTCACGGACACACACACACATATATATATATATATATATATATATATATATACATATATAAAAATTTGAACGAATTGTGTTTTTGGCCTCTGGGGACATCAAAATGAAAAAGTAAATCGGTCCCGGGCCTAAGTCTTACCATGAGACCTACGGTAATAGCTACTTCCCTATAGGGAAATTCGCTAAAAAGTAACGTTACTCTATGTACATAGCAAGCATTAACTGGGCTAGATAAACGTAACCCGATGCTTTGCCGGAGCAGTCCTGCCAACAAAACAGGACAAAACCTCGGTGTGAATTCAGTGTTGCCAACCACCCATCGCTGGCAGCCTGCCTGTTGCTTAGCAACCGACGCCAAGTGACCTTGTCTTGCTAATCACTATCTTATATTTACATTATTGCAATGAATAGGGGTTTTTAAGCCAAACTACCTGAACTAGTTTACATTAAAAATGTTAGACAATACTATATATAATAATAAATAAATACTACAGACTTTGTATTTTCATGGCACCACCAACCCCTACTTCTCTTACGTGGTGTTCTGCATAATAGGTTTACTAAATAACTTGTCTAAAATAAATTAATATTTGCCAGATTTGTGCTCATATCTTTCATGGATGTACCAAAGAATGTGATATTTTGTTACAAATTTATTGATGACTATAAGACGGAATATTCAATTTGTTATGTACAATTTCCCATTGATAATTCACTTTATTGTTTACGTAATAAATGTTTTCCATATAATTAAAATCATTAAAAGTACACTTATACAGTAATTTATACAGATGATTAAAATCTATGTTTATGCCTGTGCAACAAACACCAAACTACACTTATTAACATAAATATCGTTATGTAACCATTCAATAACTTATTAGCATACCATTATGCGTAGTAATGATACACATAACTCCGTTGCTTTGCTAAGATCATGTTCCAATACTATCAAATGATGTTCAACATACTAATAATTAAACATGAATATTTAGTTCCATCCCTCAAGTATAAGTATATATTGATATTTTATATATTTCTGACAAAAACTGTCACAGAAACAACAAACACTGCTATAATAAAGAAATTTACTTTGAAGGTTTTATATTTAATAGTTATTCCAATTACAATAAAAACTAAAAAGATACGAAAGCAATTCCTGGAATGATAAGTATTGTTAATATTTGGAGGATTAGTGTAAATGTATTTACCATGCGAGAGTTGTTATGTTGTAATCAGCTCAACAATGTCGGAGGGGTTCTCTCGTTACAATCGCCTTAACGTCTTATATACAAGGAACTGATATTTAGTACTCTACCTGCTTATTATAGGTATTAGGTATTACTAACATCAACCTCTCAAATCAGCGAGAAGCGGGGAGAAATAAAAATGAATGTCATGTTATTGAAATATTAGAGATTGTGTCTAATCAGCGTCGCCAGAAATGGGGCGTACTTTCCTAGATAAGTGAGGGATATTTGGAGTTGTGAGTTTAACCAAAAGATTCTAACTATTCACAGACGTCGATAAGCACATATTAATATCTGCTTCAATAAACATAAAGTATACATTTGTTGTCCTATTAAGTGGTACATTTACATGATTTCACTTTTTCCTAGGCACTTCCTTTGACTATTATTATCTGAAAGTCAATGGCACTACTCAAAACGAGTGCATGTATCCCTTTCAAATCATGTATTCTGCATTAGTCCTTAGGAAGAATCCGAATTGTTATAATTAAGATAATGGAAATTGGCTTCGGTCCTCAAACTTGAGTTCCAACTCCACACTGCTGCAGTGTAGATAAGAGATTTATCGTCTTACTGTTGAGTTTATAATGCACAAAATAAGAATTGGACAGTCTGTATGAATGAGGAAGATGTGCCACTGTAATCTCAGTTGTAGAGGATAATTAAGATTTCCTGACAAGGATCACCCCAGGACTTCTCGTCAGGAGGTCCTGTTGATGTTTAGGATTGCATTGTACATCTCAGCACCTCATGTCGAGTGTATACAGTCTTACATTGAATTTTTTCCTGCTCAATTTCTCTGACAAAAATTTGCAATACAGCACAACATGATTTATATTTTTATACAGATTTTATAAATTTGTATGAGTAGGCTAAATCTCATTTGTCATAACTTTTTGTGTTACACACATGAGGTTTGTTTGATTTTTAAAGAAACTGATTTATTTTCTTAATATTTTTTTTCTTTGTTCTGTTGGATTTTTACTTTATTTTAAACGTGTTTAACTATCTTGTTAAAAATGGTTTTTTTATCTTGGTACTTTTTTGTAATGGCTATTTTTATAAGACCTTATCAGTTAAAAGGCGTATGACATTAAACAATTAAAACTTTAAAATGTTCATGCTAAACCTGTTATCTTACCAATTTTGCTTATTTTTAAGTGACTATCACGGGTATATAAGTCCATAATAAACTAAGACCATTAGATTTTAATTTTCTGTTTTTTGCCTATGGTAAAAAAAAAATACCTTGAACTATGTTATATCATTAAAGTTTTAAACGATATAAATACAACTTCAACACGAAGCTTACCTCAATTGCTTAAAGCTTTGCATAATAAGTAGTGAGCTATCTTGTGGTTAAGACTGATATTGAGATGAGCCGTTTGGTTTGGTAACTACACGGCCTTACCTCTTCAGTACAAACATTAAATGTTCAACTAAAAGTCCATTGCATCTCCATGCAAGCACTTTATATACAATGAAATTGGAAATTCCTAGAAACAACCACAGAGAATATTTAAACTTGCCGTAAAACAACAACAGCAATGTATTAAAGCTATATAAAGCTTGGGCAACGCTTGTATGAAAATTTACCCTCCTAAAGAAAATAAATACTTTTAGTATGATTTTAATCGCCTTACTTTTGTGTAAAATTCAAAACACAGCTAAATTAATTGTTTACAAATATGTTTGTAACATTTTCAAACGAGTCGTGGTGTTATACTTAAAACGT